GAGGCATTTCAACTCGAAAACAGCAATGATAACAATAGCGTTGCCTTGCATCATGATTCAGAACTTCACACGCCCTTCAGTGAAATAAGATTAGAGGAAAGGGAAGACGCAGAACCTACGCAGGATAATTTGGAAATGAACGAATATGCACCACTTAATCCGGCAACCCGCTCATGGGAAGTGAGAAGAGAAAATGTAATCATTGAGACGGTCATTGGAGGTGGTTCTTTGGGTCAAGTCCATCGGGGAATAGCTTCAAACTTGCCAGGAAGAGAGGGAAGAATGACTGTGGCTATAAAAATGCTTCATGGTATTCTACTTGCACCAAATATCGTTTAGTTCTCAATTCAAACGCACCCTTTGTCGTAGATTTGTATATGTCATTTACCAGCTGGGAGGACCGTATTGAGAAAAATTTTCTCCGAGGTCTTAGATATCTCAAGACAAAAGGCACAGTTTTCCCCGATAGAGACCGAACTTGGCAAGTGAATAACACTTATCGAAAAGCTTGCCTTAAAAGGTTTCCAAGCAAACTTTGACATATCTCTTAAATAAGTATCTGTCACGAACTGACACCTTCCGATTGGAGAAGGAAATTGCGCGTGCAGACTTGTGAATAAGCAACAGTATTAGTATGGCAAACTCACACGAGGTAAATGACCACAACGACGATTCTCTCCTAGAGAACACTCAGAGATCTTACCTTTGTTTAATTTTAAATGTGAAGGTATAGTTATGAAAATTGCAACAAAGCTAGACATGTTCTGCAAAGCAACTCAGTACGAAATGGATACCGCCCCTGAGAGTGGCCCGGATCAAACAATTCTGTCTGCTTTCGTAACCAATCAGATGGCAGGATATTAAGAATACCTTTCCCTCACAAACCGAGAAAAAAATGGATACATATCACATTTCTAAAGTTTCTGTTTAAATTTTTATGAAGGTCTTTTTCCTTTGCGAAAAAAACTATAGGTGACAGTACAATCGCGGAGAGAAACGATTTGATGTCAGAACTCGAAGTTCTGAAGAAACTCAAGCCTCATCCCCACGTGATTAAACTGCTGGGATGCGTCACTGAATCAGGTAAACAAAATCACGAAACCGTTATATGAGACAAACTTCTATCCCTTTCTAATGGCATACAAATGGATATAATGTTTTTTAACGTTTCACCTCAAAATGCTCCTTTAAATCTATTGAAAATCATGCTAAAGCCGCGCCCCATCCTATTTCCCTAAAGCTAAGCTTTAACTTTATTTACTGTATTCTTCCTCTTTCAACACACAGACCTTTCTTTATTTCTAATCTCAACAGCATATAACTGTGGTGGGTATGACACACATGAACCTTATGCAGGACCTCGTTGGCTATGAGCTCCTTGTTACTCGATTTAAAAGCATCTGATCTATGGGCAGAGGAAATTAAGGCAGACTTTTTCTTTACTCGGTCCTTCGGGCAGACTTAATTATTTTTCCTTACCCGGTCCCTACAACAAGTGTTTCTTTATGAGCCGTCTTACAGAAATTAT